ACTAACATGTACATCCAAAAAAGTGAAGTTGATTTTACAGATTGTCTCACCCCCCAATTTTTTTACCTCCAACATCAATAAAAAATTCCCAAAATTTTAGGCCCCTAGGTGTATTAGAAGGGAGTGCTCATTAGCTAAGAGATTTCAGTTTTTTTTTAATTTATTTAAAAAAAAACATTACGCCATCTTTTTACTGGTTAGATAAAATGTTATGCCCTATATATTAATGTTACAATTACCAAAGAATATTATTTACCTAAACATATATTTCACTAGTTCAATCAGCTAATCCCGCACCTTTCCTTAAGAAACTAAAAACTACCTACACTTTACAGTTTAAATGTCATAAGTGCTTTGGATAGGGAAAATGTCTCAGACCGTGAAGTTCTAAGGCTTATAGTACAGATTGCGATAGCACTGGGAAAAGATCCGCATGAAATGCCGTCTCGCAGCACTATTTGCCGGAGACGAAAACATGAAAGGAAGAATAGTATATTAAAGTACAAGTTGCAGAAGGCCACATATTCTCGCACGAATTCGAAATTTGGCCTCGAGCGACGAAGGAGCGAGTGGACGAACGAATGAGTGCGAGAATAGCCTTCTGCAACGTGTGATTTATACTATTTTCTCGATTTTAACTTTTATTTAGGTTTTTTTAATTGTTTTGTGGTCGTTGTTAGTTAGGGGATTTTTCTCGCAAAATGTCAGTTGGCAACACAAAATGACAATATTTGTTATCCTACACAAGTACAACCTGAACTGCACTTTTACACATTAAACTTAAAATTTTGCATTAAAATGCATTGTTGGAGCAAACTTTATATTACAAAACAATAATAAAGGCTTCATTTTCAATAAAAGTAATGAATTTGAGGTTATTAATCAGTTTGACATTTTGGGGGTACCAATACTTAAAAACTAAATGTTACCAAAAATCGTTTAAGAATGAGCTTCATTCTTCAACGATTTTGCGTGCGAGAATATGACATTCTTACATAAAAATCGAGAAAAGATATGAAACAAAGTTTTTCTTGTCAAGGTTTAGTTTTTGTTCATTGGGATGGTAAAATTCTTCCTGATTACCACTGCTTAACTAAAGTAGAACATTTATCAGTAGTAGTTTCAGCAGATGGAATAGAAAAGTTATTAGGAGTACAGCAAATGAAGTCGGAAACGTACTTCGAGAATGGAATCTGGTGGATAAAGTATAAGGAATGTGTTTTGACACAACATCTGTAAATACTGGAATGAAGAATGGATGCTGCGTTTTGCTTGAGAAAAAATTGGGAGATACTTACTTTGGTTAGTCTGCAGTCATCATGTTTTGGAAATAATTCTTAGTAAGGTTTTCAAGTTGTGCTGCTTTCCGGATATTCCAATTTTTAATCGATTTAAAATAATTTGGGTACCTATTGATCGTATCTGCTTCAAGTCCTCAGACCTAGAATCGTCGAAGAATTTTGAATTTTACAAAAACTCCCCAATCCCCTTGTTGCTAGCTGCATTGAAACAAAAGTCTCAACGTTATGACGACTACTTGGAACTGATCGAGTTGGCTTTGGTCGTTTTGGTGAAATCTGGATCAAGGCACCGTGTGCCACTAAAGCTACTATGTCCGACCTAACTTTTTGGAAAGATTTAGAACGCTATGAGGAGATTGGGAAAAGCGAGGTTGCTAGAGAATCTCTGAAACATCATCTTTGGTACTTATCCAATGAACTCGTAATAATTTTAATACCAACAATAATAATAATAATAATAATCATAATATTAATATGGCCTTTGTCTACGCATAAATTATTTCTTACTTATATTTTTTCAAGGTCGACTGTGTGTTGTAAACTTCGAGTTGTAAATGATATAGCGGAAAGATGGGTAAAACTATTTGAAGAGCATAATCAATTATAAAAAATGAGGACGAAAAGCAAGACTTGTTACAAATCGTAGAAACGAATCGGAAATCTGTTCCAACAGAAACCACAAAAAAGCTGCAATTTATGCTACTAAGAGTTCTGGACCATGATTTTCATGTGGATATATTGTCTTCAGATTCATTCTATCATAGCTGTGAGCACTCCCTTCTAATTAAGCTAGAGGGTTCAAATTTTCTAAAATAACTTTTTTTACTTTATATAAAAAAATTAGAGGGTGAGAATAAGTCTATTTACAACTTCACTTTTTTAATTCGTTTCTGGACCACCCTAATGTACATCTAATTATCCCTTTAAAATTAATTTTAAGATGGCTATGGAATTTATAGATTTATTGATGAATTTATGGATTAAGCAAAACTTTTTATACTTTTTCTACTAAAATATAAAGTTCACAAGTGTAGTTATGTCGATCCGGGGACACACTGTTTATGTGTGCAGAATATCGCTGACTATACCTAATAGTTCCTTGCACTACTCATTGATGTGACAAAAATAACCATTGCTGTTGTCAAAGTATCCAGTGGGGTTTTATTAGAAATTTTATGATTTCAAATAGTACATTGACGTTGACATTTTTTATTGGGGAAGTAAAAGATTTTCGAGATTTTTTTTTGTCAATTTTAGAAATTTCCATATAATAACCGAGATATAGCACTTTTTGGTAAGCCAACTAGATCATTGTTATTGTTCAGGTATTTTACTCAAATCATACGAAAATAGTTAATTGGACATAAATTGTAGAAAAAATTCTATAAATTAAAGGGGCAAGGCCGAGCAAGGCTTTTTTACCTGTTTCCCAATGAAATTAAATTAGAATTAAAAGTTTAAATTAAATCAAGACTTAAACAAAATTAAATCAGTGAATTATTTCATGATAGGCCTGGGCTAAATTCAAATGTTTCAGCAATGTTCTTGGCAGGGTTCGCCTGATTTAAAAATCATTTGATTTAAATCACGATTTAAATCAACGATTTAAATTAAGTGATTTTTTTTATTTTAATAAATGATTTAAATCAGGTTTAAAAACAGTTTCTTAAATGTAAAAAAACACTTAAAGATCTAAAACTAAAGCACAATAATATCTTGACATTATTTAAATAAATTCATATGCATACAAAAATTGCTTATTTTGTTAAATAAAATAATAAAGGAATATACAAAAAAAATATGACAGTTGCGAACGGTGGTTTATTTGCTAATAAAGTAGTGCCAATATAAAATTATTATAGTCAATTTATTTTTAGTATTTTTTTAATACCTAGTACACTTTACTTAAAAAAGGTTATAATTAAAAAAAGATGACTCATGACTTTTTTGGACACTGGTTCTTGGTAATTTTAAGGAAAGTTAAAACCATGGTTTTGCAAAGGCGATAAAAAATTAAACAAAGTGTCGTATACAAACTAAAAAAATAATATTAGTTTGTATACAATCTGAAGATGCTACTGTGTAGCAAAACAATTGCCATATTTAAATAAAATAGTGAAACTTTTAAACAGTATAGTTTATATTAACATAAAATTATTTTATCTACGCCAGTGAGATAAGAACTTCTTATCCCACTCATTTTGATTGAGATAAGAAGTTCATTAACGCACGCGTTTTTCTCTGTTTTTAACCAATCAAATAAAAAAGTCAAAATGTCAAAATAACCCTAAATTAAGTCTTAGACAAAAATAATTACCGTTTATTTTTTCATTTAGAGGCGTAAATAAAAATTTGTACAATATACGTGTGATAACGCTTTATTAACGTACTTTTGCGATTGCCCAACTCGTGCTACGCACTCGTTGCAAATTTCGCATGCGTACGTTAATAAAGATCCCACTTATATCGTAAATAACTATTATCTCCACGCGGTCTATAATTTAAACTTTATTGTTGTCAACATTCGATAAAGAAATACCTTGTTATGGCCTAGGCCGATAAAAAATTTTATGAGGCAAGTAATTAGTTCGATTTTTTCTCGCTAGGGGTATTGTTTTGACAAATTAATCCTTTTCTAAGAAATTAACGTACCTACCTACTAAACTGGTTTAATTTATTTATAATAAGCACTAATTTGTTTGTTTTACTGTTAATGTTTAATATTTTTCATTAAATTATTGTAAAATTAAATATGAATAATAAAACAAAAAGTGAGGTTAGACAACCAAGAAAACGCCCGATTCTTTTTCTACAATTTAAATTAAGTTTTAATTTGCTTTAAATTTTCAGTGAAATTAAATGTTAAACACAGCTTAAACATTCCAAATCACCTATTTTTTAAATAAAAATCCAAACAAATTGAAATTAGATACCTACCTACCTATTTATTAAACAATTAATTGACTTCAATGTAATAGCAAAAATCCATTTCTAATTAAATCATGTTGCTAGGTATTGTCAAACTATTACTGCTTCTAAAAGCAATAATAATTATTGTACATTTAATGTAATCTTTAGCTAATAAATAAATGAGATTATAAAAAAGTGAGGTTAGGCCGCTTTGATTTGAATTAAATTGACCTAAGTATATAAAGTGCTTTGAAGATAAAATGTTGTATGGGTTATTGCCGGAATAGTGAGTAATTATTGGGTCTATTTTGTCCCATACAATAACAAAAGAAATAAAATAAAATAGTACACTTATTAGATGCTATAAATAAAGGACATTTGAACAACACATGATAACCCGTTAAATAATATCGATTTATTGAATTATTTGGCTTTTTTGAAAATATAGTTACACGGGACTGACACATAGGACACGGGACTGACATTTACTGGCATGGAACTAAATCTACGGGCCTAATACATGGGTGCAAAGAAGGCAGACATATCTAGTAAATAATAGGTACTACTAAGAACATTTATATTTTTTATTTAAAATAGAAAAAGAACATGTATTTAACATTTAAACGAAACTAATAAGTATTCTAATCACAAAAGTATTATAGAACCCATTAATAAGGTATTAATAATCCCAAGTTGGGTAGGAACAATAACCAAAATGCAGTATACAATAAACTAATAATATATAAACATTAATGTGTAGGTGACTATACAAAATCAGACTTATTATTTGGCAGGTATAGTTTTGTACTTTTAATTTAGGAACTTTCAAACACATCGACGTTTTTCTGGAAACGATAGAACACTCTATTGCCTTTGAGCAGTAAACTCGGTTCAGGAAGTACTTCCAAAATTTGATCTTGCAATATATAACTTTTATCATTCTCATCCAGTTTAAAGGTTTGTAGGTTTTTCTGATCGTCGATTAGTTTTAAAAATGTCACAGTGACTTCCCCATCATTATCAATGTCACTCTGGCATACACCAACATATCTGTAATTATTGTTTGTATCTTTTTTAATTTTATTTTTGGTAAAAGCAACAAGCACATATGACCCAGTTTTTACAAGCGAAGGAGGTTTTGAGCAACACGGTTCATCATCTGTGTCGTCACTATATACATCTTCATATCTAACTTTTTCTCTAGGACTTTTAGATATGGGTAACAAGTCTTTATTACTAAGGTCGATATTAGTGGCTTCTGAGGTAGCTTTTTTGTACTCAAGCGTTCCTAATTCGTAATGACTGCAATATTTCGCACAATTGTAGCAAGAAATACTTCTCAACCAAAGTTTATAAGTTCCAGCGTAAGTTCTGATCTGGTGCACCTTCATTGTTCCATGAAATGGTAAAATCTTACTCTCTTTAATCAAGTTATCAAAAACCTCAATATCTGCTTTAGAAACCACAAAAAAGTTAACACCAGGGCAATTTTCTTTTAAAATATCAACAAGTTCCATAAAAGAGGAAATGTCCCTGCCTTGGGCAACGATGCGGTCTGCAGTTCTTTTGCAAACCCCACCAATTCCATCAGGGGCCCCTTTGCCATGGCCCGCCTCACTGTAGTTCCATGTGACATCTTTAAAGCCCTCAAAGTAAGTAAGCAGATTATTTGTAATAAATGAAAACATAGTTTTATTCCGGTACTGCGTACTCGGACTGTCACTTAAAAAATGTAGTTTTTCAATCCCTTTCCCTGAATAAAATTTTAATATGGGACAAAGATGGGCCCATATTGCTGGTGGATTATGGTCCAAAGACTCAGAAAGTGTGCAGAAGCTTACTGCTTTACAAGCACTGTTGTCCAAATTGGAGTACACTACAGTTGTATGCATGGATACTTGTTGTCTTGAACCACCAAAATGGAAAGACTGAACTTCTTCAGAATATTTCAGGTTGTAGTTTTCGCTAAAATCACAATGTATGAGCAGTTCATTATTCTTTAATGTTTCTTTAAGCTTTACTATTGAGCTATACTGATGACCAATGCGTGATTTATGGGCCATAAATATATAAAGTTGTTGTTCAAATTGTTTGAGTATTTGGGAACATTTTGATTGAAAAGGTACCTTTGCAATTTTCTTGGTGAATTTAGTAGTCTGAGATTTTTTATCAAAATAGCTTTGCTTTAAATTTACCCATTTAAAATACTGCACAATCCTGTTAGGCTCAAAACTGTTATATAAAATTTTAGATTTTTTACATTCTGTGCATTTTCTAAGTAAGCAGTTCTCATTTTGGTCATTACAACACACATCTTTTATAACATGTGAATGAGCTTTGGATGAAATCACCTTATTGGAATACAAGCAGTCAACCATTAAGTTCATGTTTGCGTGAATTATACACTGACATGTGTTTCTGTCTGTTACCTTCAGTGGTTTGACCCAAAATGGTCGATTGCGACAAAAAAACCTATAACTTATGTTTGGTTTAGGATTTCTTTTAATATATTTAATATATAAATTCTTAATTGTGTTCCCTAGTAAACGCTTTTGTCGTCTAATTTTATTCCTTGTGACAAAGTCTTTTTTGCCAGGGCAAAGACGACTATTTATGTCTTCTTCATAAAAATCCTGCACTTTCTTTTTTATACTGCTTAGTAAATAACTACGTGATCCATCTCGCTGCTTGTAAGTCATTAGATCTGAAGTCTCGTAGCTGGGAGTTTTTCTAAATTTAAAATATTTGGAGCATTTTGTTTTCAAATTATATTTTTTGATTACATTACCAGACACAATTTTTTTAAACACCTGTTTTTCTCGTGTAGTGTTCAGAATATTGTAGGATTCACGTAGCTGATCTTTAATGACCTCTCCAAAAAGGAGCTTCTTTTTTACAACATCGGCATCGGATTTAGATTCTTCTATAATAAGATTTACTCTAGTATTGGGAGTCAATAATAGAGAATTCGAGTTTAAAGAAGACATTGATTCGTTTGTTTTATTATTCATTTGCTTTTGTAATCTCTGAAATCGTTTTTTATACTGTTGAACCTTTCTTTGCAAAGCTTCTAATTTTTGTTTTAACTTTTTTCTTTCCAAGTGGCGTTTCATCTTGTTTCTATTAGATAGTTTTTTTCCTCTTGCTTGGCTCGGTGTGGGGGCCACACCTGGGGCTACTAAAGGAATGTCATTTTCATCATCAGATGTGGGAGGAGTATTGTTTGCTAACAGCTCATTTTGTTTTGCCTTTTCTTTCTTTCGTAGTCTATATTCTCTAGTATAATTTTTCCAGTCTTTCCGCTTTTGACGCTGTTCTCTAGAGGTCATTTCGCTTATACTTGTTCGTATCTTTTCCCTTTTTTGACGTAAATATTTTCTTCTTTCCTTTTCTCTTTGCTCCTCTCTTTTTATTGGATCATCTCTTATTTGTCTTCGACGCTCCCTCTCTCGTTGCCGTTTTCGCTCTTTTTTTTCCTCTGAGCTAAGCTTAGTATCTTTTCCCCGAGTTTTTCCCATAACTAATCTGTAAAATAAAAAAGATTTGTTGCAATCAGAGTTGTAAAAGTAACAAAATGATAGAGGAAAGTCAGTTCCGTGTATACAATATCAGTCCCGTGTTCATAAATTGTCACGGAACTGACGACACGGAACTGACAATTTTCACGTTATTTGCAAATAAAAAATTAAATTAAAATATTATGAAGATTTTTATTATCTAAATCTAACCTAAATAATAATTTACTTATACTAACCTGCCTTAAATAACAATTATCACTGAAACAAACCAAACTTCTGGGCACCCGGAACTGACGAAACAACAGGTTAACACGTGCAAAATCGGTTTTCATTAATTTTTAATAAGGCATTAAATAATTTGCGTGTTTATTCATCTATGTTTAAAAGAAGACTAAGTCAATATGCAACGAAATTAACCGCCCAAACTTGATTCCCGCCTTTTTTATCCCCACTTTTCACAATTTAAAAACACTAACCCGGGACTGACATTTTTAACAAAGACATGTATTTAAAGGCATTTTACTTAGAAAATATAAGTTTTTTGTATTAACTTTACTAGTTTTGTAAAATAACATATTCATGTTAATACATTTATTAGCAAATTATTTCATTTAACATTTTCTGTCTAACAAAAATTACTAGATTATTACTTGAACTTATGGAAGGGACAAGGCACGGGACTGATATTTCAGACATATTTTATTTAAAAAAAGTAACGCTGGATTTTTTTTAACGAAATTGTCTTAACAGCTTTTTTAAACTTTTTAAAACAAAGGTAAATCTATGTAATTTTTATTTAAAATGCAATATATTATATTTTTTTAGTCGAGAGACCAGCGATTACTCACTTTTGTGGCAACAACCCGTATGCCATTCGGCCAAGAAGTGCCTTTTTGTTCTTCGCTCAATTGTAGGCCTCCGCTACGCGTCGGCCTTCAAACCTTGAGCTTAGCACAAAAAGCCTTACTTCTTAAACTAATGACATAAAGATTCAAGATTCAAGATTCAAGATTCAAGATTTATTCGTTATACAATATACAATAAAGTTTAAACACGTCAGAAATAATAATAGAAATAACTATTATATTCAAATCTTCATCCTATAAACCTATTTTTCTAATGCAATCAAAAGCCTTATAAATAAGGTTACTTATAAAAGTGCAGCTTTAAAAATAGCCCATAATCAATAAATAATGGCATTATTATGATTTAATCAACGATAAATGAATGTTGTTTACTTCATAAAATTGTCGTATCAGATATAAACTCATTCTCAAACCAATTTGCAAATATTTGCAAAATACCACAAAACATTATTAAACCAAATAAATCTCTTCTTAATCAAACAACTAAAGTCGTCTACAACTTTCACTATTTATTATTTTATTATTACTGGTTTATTTAATTTAACAATCAGCAACAAACTTGAGTCACATCTTGTATTCTTTTCTTGCCGCATCTCTAATTGCACAGCCCACAGGATAACCAATCCAAAGATAAATTGCGTTTTGTCTGGACGCCCTGTGGCGAAAATATTAAAGGGCACGCAGAACACTAAACGCATCTGTCACAACACTCTCGATGCGCCATGAAATATGTTCCTTTAATTACCATAAGTGACACGGCTGGGACTTAAGGCTTTTGTGCACTAGGAAGTGTTGTTTGCTGGTGGTATACAACATAGAAAAAGTATACAATGGGCAATGAAACCAAAGTGTTTGGTGAAAAGGGTAGATGAAGTGCATGGGATTTGAATTGAAAACAAACATAATAGATATCATTTGGGATAAAATAGGTAGTTAACAATGTAACTAACAATTGCAATTTAAAAACAGTTGAATGTAGGTACTTTTGAAAAAATATATTCTTTTGATTTTTTGTATCAATAAATTCATTTAGTCTGTTCCATTTTTGTTACAAGCTGATGAAACCCGTATTTATAAATCAAGAATATTTCTTGTTTCAATGGTACGAATCAAAGCCTTTATAATGACATAATACATTAAATCTCAATACATCCATTACATTAACTTACTATTAAGTTAATTGGCTCCATTTACTACAAGGCCATTAAGTGTTTAGTACTCAATAGGGGCTTTTGTTAAACAAAAAATATTTACAAGTAGGGCGCGAGTCTATTTTAAAATTTGTTTCTTGCCAGATTGGAGAGACAAATTTAAGTTAGGATTCCTTAAGTGAGCCCGCAATTTTTCATGTAATTATGAAATTTAAAAAAATTAATTTGTTATCTATTACCTACCTACTTATTTTTACTAATTAATATTTTGCCGATATTTATTTAGAAAATTGATTAGGTACTGGTGCAATACTTATCGAATACTTTGGATATGATAAGTGTTAGCTGAATACAATACTCGATACAACAGACAATTGAATTTAAAAAAAAATGCAATTTTGACCTTGTAGGTAATTTATCTTAAATTAAAAATGTTCTTGATACATATAGGAGGTGTGTTCAGAAAATAACGGGAATTGTTAAATTCGCCGCTATGGTTAGACGTGTTTTATGAGCTCGGCGATTTTTCGTTCGTTAAAAGAAATGGATCAAAGAATTTGTATCCAATTTTGCTTAAAAAATTAAATACGATTTAAATTAAGTGATTTTTTTTATTTTAATAAATGATTTAAATCAGGTTTAAAAACAGTTTCTTAAATGTAAAAAAACACTTAAAGATCTAAAACTAAAGCACAATAATATCTTGACATTATTTAAATAAATTCATATGCATACAAAAATTGCTAATTTTGTTAAATAAAATAATAAAGGAATATACAAAAAAAATATGACAGTTGCGAACGGTGGTTTATTTGCTAATAAAGTAGTGCCAATATAAAATTATTATAGTCAATTTATTTTTAGTATTTTTTTAATACCTAGTACACTTTACTTAAAAAAGGTTATAATTAAAAAAAGATGACTCATGACTTTTTTGGACACTGGTTCTTGGTAATTTTAAGGAAAGTTAAAACCATGGTTTTGCAAAGGCGATAAAAAATTAAACAAAGTGTCGTATACAAACTAAAAAAATAATATTAGTTTGTATACAATCTTTTGCGATTGCCCAACTCGTGCTACGCACTCGTTGCAAATTTCGCATGCGTACGTTAATAAAGATCCCACTTATATCGTAAATAACTATTATCTCCACGCGGTCTATAATTTAAACTTTATTGTTGTCAACATTCGATAAAGAAATACCTTGTTATGGCCTAGGCCGATAAAAAATTTTATGAGGCAAGTAATTAGTTCGATTTTTTCTCGCTAGGGGTATTGTTTTGACAAATTAATCCTTTTCTAAGAAATTAACGTACCTACCTACTAAACTGGTTTAATTTATTTATAATAAGCACTAATTTGTTTGTTTTACTGTTAATGTTTAATATTTTTCATTAAATTATTGTAAAATTAAATATGAATAATAAAACAAAAAGTGAGGTTAGACAACCAAGAAAACGCCCGATTCTTTTTCTACAATTTAAATTAAGTTTTAATTTGCTTTAAATTTTCAGTGAAATTAAATGTTAAACACAGCTTAAACATTCCAAATCACCTATTTTTTAAATAAAAATCCAAACAAATTGAAATTAGATACCTACCTACCTATTTATTAAACAATTAATTGACTTCAATGTAATAGCAAAAATCCATTTCTAATTAAATCATGTTGCTAGGTATTGTCAAACTATTACTGCTTCTAAAAGCAATAATAATTATTGTACATTTAATGTAATCTTTAGCTAATAAATAAATGAGATTATAAAAAAGTGAGGTTAGGCCGCTTTGATTTGAATTAAATTGACCTAAGTATATAAAGTGCTTTGAAGATAAAATGTTGTATGCCATTCGGCCAAGAAGTGCCTTTTTGTTCTTCGCTCAATTGTAGGCCTCCGCTACGCGTCGGCCTTCAAACCTTGAGCTTAGCACAAAAAGCCGTACTTCTTAAACTAATGACATAAATAACTATTACTTATATTCAAATCTTCATCCTATAAACCTATTTTTCTAATGCAATCAAAAGCCTTATAAATAAGGTTACTTATAAAAGTGCAGCTTTAAAAATAGCCCATAATCAATAAATAATGGCATTATTATGATTTAATCAACGATAAATGAATGTTGTTTACTTCATAAAATTGTCGTATCAGATATAAACTCATTCTCAAACCAATTTGCAAATATTTGCAAAATACCACAAAACATTATTAAACCAAATAAATCTCTTCTTAATCAAACAACTAAAGTCGTCTACAACTTTCACTATTTATTATTTTATTATTACTGGTTTATTTAATTTAACAATCAGCAACAAACTTGAGTCACATCTTGTATTCTTTTCTTGCCGCATCTCTAATTGCACAGCCCACAGGATAACCAATCCAAAGATAAATTGCGTTTTGTCTGGACGCCCTGTGGCGAAAATATTAAAGGGCACGCAGAACACTAAACGCATCTGTCACAACACTCTCGATGCGCCATGAAATATGTTCCTTTAATTACCATAAGTGACACGGCTGGGACTTAAGGCTTTTGTGCACTAGGAAGTGTTGTTTGCTGGTGGTATACAACATAGAAAAAGTATACAATGGGCAATGAAACCAAAGTGTTTGGTGAAAAGGGTAGATGAAGTGCATGGGATTTGAATTGAAAACAAACATAATAGATATCATTTGGGATAAAATAGGTAGTTAACAATGTAACTAACAATTGCAATTTAAAAACAGTTGAATGTAGGTACTTTTGAAAAAATATATTCTTTTGATTTTTTGTATCAATAAATTCATTTAGTCTGTTCCATTTTTGTTACAAGCTGATGAAACCCGTATTTATAAATCAAGAATATTTCTTGTTTCAATGGTACGAATCAAAGCCTTTATAATGACATAATACATTAAATCTCAATACATCCATTACATTAACTTACTATTAAGTTAATTGGCTCCATTTACTACAAGGCCATTAAGTGTTTAGTACTCAATAG